AACTTTACGCAAATGATGAAGAGGGCAAATTACAAGTGTTAAGTTTTGCAGGTGAAAGAATGGTTTCGGCGAGAACATCGGCCAAAAGGGGGCGCCTCATGGCGTACCATACATCTTGTACGGTCTCAGCCAAAGCTCCCTACTCACCCTTGCCCGTGATGGGCTTGTTGGAGGTATGTCATGAGGGCCTTCGGCCGACCTACCGAAACCATCCAGAACAACAAGCATCGGCTAATTCTTAGACGGGTGCCACTAGCGAAGCCAAGGGGTGAAACCCTTGGGCGAACCAAAATGACGAAGACCAAGGGTGTTTCGCCATCAAGAATGGGCGAAGCCGTGAAATGAAAGCCGAAGGGTTTGCCTCCAGGCTCATCGATCAACCGGAGATCCACCACGGGCGAGGGCTGTAGGGTGAAGCACAAGGCCATCGCCCGAAGTAGCAAATACCTTCGGCTAAAGGCTTAGGAGGCCTAGCAGCCTATAGAGGCCCTTCGCCAGCTATTGGGCCGGCCCAAGGGGGCTGTCTCAAGGCCTATGAATGTAAAAGACACTATATACCCGTTGTAATTTGCCTGTTATGAGGGTAACCATGTAAATTTCCATGTATTAGCCAAACCCTAGAGGGTATGAGCCTGTACTAGGATTATAATTAAATAGCCTCCTAGGGCCATGTAATGGGGGATCCAAAAATTTTACCAATTAATATATTGACTTACTATTCTAACCACACATCGAGTTTACCACGTCCTTCAACGTGAAGCAGTTGTCATTCGACAATAATTCCCAACAAGAGACACCCTCGGAGCGTTCCTCTCATATGTAACGGCTACTACTCTTGAACCGTTACAGATGAGTCTTCATCTGTAATGGCAGACTCATATGTAACGAGCCTCCAGCTAATTATTAGCCACATCGCTGTAATGAATGCTTGGTAACGGTTGGCTGAGCCATTATACTCTCTCTTTCTAAATATTTAACACTGTTAACTCTTTAGCACATGTTTGACCGTTCGTTTTATTCAAAAGCTTATGTGAAATATGTAAAACTATATGTATACATATATAAGTATATTTAACAATGAATCAAATAATAGGAAAAGAATTAATAATTATTTAATTTTTTTTAATAAGACGAACGGTCAAACATATTATAAAAAGTAAACGGTGTTAAATAGTATCTATCTTGAGCCGTTACAGATAGCTAGGATTATGCTAGTGACGCGACCCCGAGAAGAATAACGTAGGTACGCCACTGTGCGTATGTACTACTACTACTAAGCTATAGAGCAGTATATATATTGCTCACTGTTTGTTTTGGAAAAATGAACAGTTTGCAATGCACTTAAATTAATTTAATTCAATTGACAACTAGACAGACAACTTGAAACAACTTTCGTACAGCCCAATTTCTTGGAATGAACTATATTGTTCAGAGAAATTATATATATATGTTTGGAAGGTGAGTAGCATTTGCTCGTTGAACACATGCACTACAAGTCTTCCACGCATGTTTTTGACCTGACCATGCGATCCGAACTTCAACTATAGGACTTGTAATTGCACCCATTTTTGTGATCCCTTCTAACAAACTGCGATATAAAGATGATGTCTAACCTGCCAGTTTTCCAGGCATGTTGTTTGACATTTGGTTTTTTCTTGTCTTGTAGTAGGCTGTAGCTAGCTAGCTACTCCCTCTGTCCTAGAATGTAGCTATTTTTAGGATTCAAACTTGTCCCAAAAAATGCTATTCCCTCTGTCCCAGAATGTAGCTATTTTTAGGATTCAAACTTGTCCCAAAAAATGCTATTTCTAGGTAGGTGAGAGGCTGTTATACCTGTTTTACCTCTGCTGACTACCCCGTGCCATGGGACCCACGGGCCACCATCCAGTGCACTGCACCCCCACAGCACTGACACACCACAGACCCCACCCCAGTGCATGGAGGAGACGAGGAGAGAGGCACCAGACTTCTTTGGTTTGAATTTCAAAAGTTGGTTCCATTTTTTTATTCTGGATATGCAGGTGCCAGGGGAATAGCAGCTGTGGGAGGAATGCTGCGTGTCCTTGTGCCAGCATATTCATGATTCCATAAAAGAAGGGCACTATGGTCATAACACCCAAAACCTTAATCCATCCAAACAACCTAGAAATAGCTACATTCTGGGACGGAGGTGGTAGTCGCTTGACATTTGGAATTATGCTTGGCTAGCTTCTATCTGGTCAAAGATAATGTTTCTTAATTACACAACCACCTAAAATACTCCCAGGCATACCTGAAAAATAATTCAACTATAGCATTTTCAATATTTGTTTATTGTTTACTCAAACTAAAAAAGAATAAGGGAAACTAGCTAGGAGGATATATAGAGTGTTATTTGAACTGCAGTATGAATTTTCTTACTACCTCTATCCCTGAATTTTCAGGGTTAGAATGAGTATTAAGGAAATAGCTAGGTAGAATTAAATGGGTAGATGTTGTGATTGAGGAAGAAGAGAAAGTAGGTGGAGAATTTAATTGGTGGAAGGTTATAATTAATTGAGAAGAGAATATAGGTGAACAAGTTGTTATATTTAAAAAAATTTTAAATGTTAAAAGTTGTTAAATTTTAAGACCAAAAATGTATTGTACACTGGCAGTAGTTAGTACACGTCACAACAATATTTTTTAGGAAGATCATATAAAAATAACGGGGCCAATGTAACAGGCTCACTGATAGCAGCCTCATGACGTCATATTCAAAGGCACGCTTGGACGTTGTAGGACGGAGGGAGTATGCTTCTTATCACCCGAATGAGAGAAAGAAAATAACATGTGAACCGTAGTTCGAATGGGAGATCCCAACAAGGTCTACATGTTCGACTTAAAAAAAAAAAAGATTTCCGGACAACTAAAAAATACTACCTCCATTTATTTTATTGTGACTTGATTCGTCATCAAATATTCTTTAAGTATGACATAAATATTTTCATATTTGCACAAAAATTTTAAATAAAACGAATAGCCAAACGTTGGTTGAAAAGTCAACGGTGTCATACATTAAATACGGAGGGAGTAGCATCGATCGTCGTTTTGTTTTCTTCTTCCAATAGCGCAGTAGAATACTGCAAAGGGCTGCAAGAGCATCCACTGAACCGAAGGAAAAGGCAGGAGCCTATTCCATATAAATTTACTTTGAGGTGTGAGTTGGGATACAATTAAATTGTTGACTGGAATTACGTGACCATTAATAAAATTAGTGTACTTCACTAAATTCGTTTGTAGACCATGTGATCGAATATGCGCGTGATGCAGCTGTCTCTTTCTTTCGGGTGTAACACGTCGAATTGTAATATCAGCAATCCGCACTCACATGTTTACTAGGGAAAATGTTCCAGGTTTAACAGTCAACTATAAAATTGTTCAGTAATTTTTTTCCCATTTTTTAGATATGTGGCCAGTTTGTTTTTCCACACGATCATTTGACCGGTTACACTATCATGAGAAATTTTGCTTATTTAATATTAGAAAACACGTATTTGATCACTGGTGGAGAAAGCGTTTATACTCCCGGTTCATAACCCCCCTATACTCCCGGTTGTAACCGGGAGTATGAATCCGGGACTAAAGATACCCATCTTTAGTCCCAGGTGAAATAACGGGATAGGGCTACGTCATCGATTGTTTTTTACTTTTTATTGTTTTTTCTGCTTGTACCTATTCCCCACCTAGATCCACCCAACCATTCACAAATTATGCATAATAAAATCATCCACAAATCATACACATTCACAATCCACAAATCATACACATCCACAATCCACAAATCAATCACAAAATCATCCCCAAATCAACAAGAAAAATCTCCAACAAAATATACAAATCATTCACTACAAAATATATAAAGAAAATCACACGCTGCCGCCTGGCCGCCGCCACCCGCCATGCGCCCAGCCACCGCCGCCCGGCCGTGCGCGACCGGCCACGCTAGCTGCCGCAACCGCCCAGGCTCGGTCGCGCCCTCCGCGCCGGCCGCCGCTCGGCCGTGCCCTCCGCGCTGGCCGCCAGCCGCCTGGGCTCGGCCCTCCGCGCCGACCACCGCGACCGTCCGAGCTTGGCCGCCTGCCCGCCTGTGCTTGTACCTGGGACGAGGACGAAG